AACCTTGTTCATCTTTTCATGGAATTTTCTCATTGAACTGTTATCTAAACCACCTTTTACCTCCTCATCTTGAACTTTGTGAATGGTACTCTTGCAACCTTTGCCTTGAACTCTTCATCACCTACTTCACAATTTATTTCCTTTCCCTTTACAATACCTCTTTGAAGCTTGCTGAGGTTAGTCATACCCAAGATCGTGACAGACTCTCAAGTTGCTACAATAACTCTCTCTCAATGACATTGGGGTAAAAATATAGGGAAAGGGGGACATGCTTATATAAGATTTCTATTAACCCACTTGCAGTCGTTGCTCTGAGTCCAGGTTGCTGCTCGGTGTGTATGACAGGAGATCACAGAGCCTAGGCAGTCCGAAATGTGCCTGTAAGCTATGCAGTACCTCTCATATTATTTCTCAGATTAAAAAGGTCTCAGCTTGCCAAATAACTAGACAAACCCTCTCCAGTCATACTGCAAGAATTGTATGTTAATTTTTTCCAGGCAAAGCTTTTCAGAAATATGATTTTATTTTGTTGAAGATGGGGTGCAACATTTCACAGTTCAGAGTCCTCTTCCTATGGGTTATATAGCCAGTGCTAGCCCAGCTGAAGTCCCATCCGTTTTTTAATCCCATCCCATCCATTATCTTTAAGTAAGATTGACATTGGACACAACCCAATGTAATGATGTTCTAATTTTTATTAGTGAGAGTATGCTTAGTTTGGCTTAGTGGTACCTCTGCTTTTCCAAATGTGGTTTGGACAGTGCTCCTTAAGAAACATTATTCTGGGAATATTCTGCTGTATTGAGCTTGCCCAGGCTTTTAGTCTTCATCACTTAAACAAGGAGAGTGTTTAAGAGAGACCACACTTTCTTTACTCCAGCAAAATAAAGCCTTCTCTTTTTCTTTAGTAAAGTTTCTCCTGAATTTTGCTCTGGGCACCCAGACATCAGGAGAGTTACAATGTATTCTGAAATCTCCCTGTAGAATTTAAAATGGGTACATTAACCTAGCAATATGGCTTCTTTTTATTTCATTAACAAGGTGTCTTTTCCTCCCATAACATAAACAAGTGGGAAAAGGTGATCTTTGATGCCTGACTAGAACTTAAGAGGCTGATATTTGTGGAGCTGGACTATGGGTCCAGTGTTGTTTACACTGACTGGCAGTGACTTTCAGCAATTCAACTAGGATTCTTTCTTAGTTCTACCTGGAGATGCTTGGAATTGAACCCAGAACTTTCTGCATGCAATCTAAAACTGAGCTTTCTTTCTTCAAACAAAAACTTTTGAGCAAATTACCAGTCTATTCTATTCAAATTACCAGTCTATTAACTTGTGCATTACTAGTTTTGCAATAATGCACAAGTTAATCAGAGGAAACTTGTGCAAGGAAAGCCAATTATTTAATCAGAGGAAGAACAGATGACAAGTTTGGCTCCAACCACCTCTCCTCTACCCCACCTTCAATTGCAGCCTCTTGCACTCTCCTTGAATGCATTCCAGATGCCAACTCGGCAGGGCTTTTGAGGGGGCAGCCATGAGAAAGGACTCACAAGTAACCTTGTGCTACTTTGGGTATAGGATGTGCCTGCATTGTTTTCAAGCTTCTATTTTAGACCAATCTATAACCTCAACAAGAAATAAAAAATGTCACAGTTCATTCCATTATGGGTTGTTGTTGTTGTTTTACCACGCAGTACAAATGTACCAAAACACTTATTTTCACAATAGAGCTATTTTTCAGACAATACTATGGAGAACCTTCTGACCTCCAAACATGATGTGAATAATCCCTTGGGTTATCCAAGAACTGTGTTCATATAATGTGAGTTTTGCTTGTGTCTGAGCTTTCATCTAGACTTGGGAACCATGTTAACTAGGTAGCCTTGTCACATTCCTTGTTGTATAATAGCAACCATAGAATTATCTCAGCACTTTAAACCAGGCAAGGGCAACTTTCAGTGCATGGAACTGTCATGTTGCCCCCTTGCCCTACTGAAATTTGGTAGCAGAAAACACCCTCCATTTTAAAGGGCAAAATCAGTGGTCTGCAGCCAAAGCATGGGGGTAAGGGCCAACTTTGTTGCATCTCAGCAGCAAACCTGATGTTTTCCTTAAAAAGATTCACATTCCTGCTGTTACTCTGCCAAATTTGGTGGCACAGGGTGTGGGAATGGATTGGGGTAAGGTATGCAGCCTACGTGTTGCTCAGTTCTGTACCATTGCATTTGAGTGGCTCTGCCTCAATGTCTTGTTTCTTTAGATAATTTGTCCAACTTCTTCTTATGACTGAAGAAACAGACTGCTGGTTCACTTGTCTTCCCTGAACAGTGAGTACTCTCCTTCCCAACCTAACAATGCTAGATTTCTTTTATCAGTAGCTCTGTTATTTCAACCTGGAAGGAACACTTAGCATCTTCTCCATCAACACTCCCATTTGCTGCCCAGCGCTGCTTATTTATGATGAGATACAAGTATAGATTATCCTCAGTACATCTCTCTTGAAAGCTGTACTGCATTTCACATATGTCAGGACAATTTTCTAGATCAAAAATGACAATGCATTCTAAAACAGGTAGCTTATTGCTTCCTAACCGGTGGTCCTCTTGTGTTCCTTTTCCCCAGTGCTACAAATGAAATGAATAAGCTTATGCAATAACTCTTTTTTCTTCTAGGTGGTAATCACTCAGAAGCCTCATTAAGTCTTTTCACCAGATTTTGTCCACTTCCCATCTCACCTCCGTGTATTTACCAGAAGGTCCAAAAGGGATGTCTATGCCTATAACTGCTCCATAGAGTGGCAATTCCTCCTTGCAGGACAGGAGGGTTTGAAGGAGGTGGCGGTGAAATGATGCCTTTGAAAATCTTTCCTGGACCCAGATTACAAGTTGCAGGCTTGGGTACTGGGGGCACTTGCTCTTCTCCATGGATGACTCCTTCCAGAAGATGGTGCTAGTGGACCACTGCTCATCTCCTTGGCATTTCTGGATTAGCTCCTACAAGGTTCTGCCCTGCCCCTATGCTAATTAACAGTCATCCGAAATTGCTTAGTGAGGTCATTCTGTGATTTAGAGTTGGCTGCCATCAACATACAAATGGCAACCAGTTCTCTCACCTGAATCTCACATAATGGAGAAGCAGAAGAAGTGCTGAATAATGACTGGCAGAGGACCAAGAAATTAAGCTTACTTCAGACCAGGGGAAGTGCTGTTGGAAAGGGGAATTCAAACTGTTCTGAATGAAATCGCTGCCTCATTAAAAGGCCCAAGTTTCCACTCCAGGTTTAACACCAGATTCCAAAATGGCCTCCTTTGAGTGGTTGGGAGTGCCTTTCTCCAACTGAGGCTGGTACCTGGCCCATTACCTGTTCTCTAATAACCTCTAGGTCACTGTATGGTGATGTGTGCAGGTGAAGCTGCCACTGAACTGCCGCTAGGCTGCCAACAGTGACCAGGTATTGGGATCATATCTTGCCAGTGCTTAAGCAGCTACTCTGGTTCTTGGTCCATTTCCAGGAGCAACTCAAACCACGAGTACTTTCCTTCAAAAGATCTGTATGTCTTAGTGCTGGTGCATCTGAAGGAGTTCTTGTGTCAGCTTTGTGTCCCACCATTTCAGGTGCACTGAGTCAGGGCCTTCTTGGTGGTACGGCTCTGGCTATGTAATAGTCTCCTTTGGAAGTTCACCTACAGTAAGACCAGCCTCTTTCTCAGGCCATTTTGAATATTTTCAGTTCCTTCACTGATGAAAAATTCATATATACATTTCTTCTCTTATGGTTTACTGTTTGTACCAACTGTTAAACACTTGCTCTCCTCCTATCACCTTATTGTAGTAGTCTGACTAAGAAGCTATGCACTACAGTGTTGGTTTTTGTGTGTGGTGAGAATTAAATCTGATGAGAACCTATTGCCACCTTTCCACATAACCAAGTAGTAAAGACAGAGGAAAGGGGACACTCCTTTGATCAATTTCAGTCCACTGGAATTATTGTAAATTCTTCCCGTTGAGCTGGCAAATGGCGTGTCAGATGCACTTTTTTTTTTAGGTTTAAGCACGAAACTAACATCGCACATCAAATAAAGATTAAAGCAAATAATTGTAGAAACCAGACAGATACAAAGAAATATAACAATAAACATTTAACAACAGCTTGGGTTTGGAGTTAATAAAACTTTATTTACAATTAGCATACTACACCAATCTAAAACACACACAAATGCACACATTTGCGCACACAGAGAGAAACAATAAGGATTGCAGAAAAACTAATTGCACAATGACATTTTTTACTTCAAGTTGCTCAGGAAGTTCAGTAAAAGGTTTGAAACTAAACACTAGCTAACATTTTACTTTTAAAAAACATCCTTCTAATAACATCTTATTAAAATAAAATCTTCAGTGGTTTGTAAAAACAAAAACAGAGAGACTTGACACTGGTATGGTTACTCATTGCATTAATTGACATTTGCTTTCTTTTTTCCCTGAAGAGGACGGATAAACACAAAGAACCTAAAATGGTACAAAACTCATGTGCACAGTCCTACCACCAAATATACCTCACAACTCTGCATGGAATGTATTCTTGAGCTTGCTGCCTCCACATGAGCATAGTACGTGCGCTCGTGCTCTCTCTCTCTCTCTCTCTCTCTCTCTCTCTCTCTCTCTCTCTCTCTCTCTCTCTCTCTCACACACACACACACACACACACACACACACACACACACACATTATAAAAAGATATCAAGGCACACAAACACCTTCTAAAATGGAATCCACTACAATCTTTTTGCAAAGTATGATTTCACCGAAGTATGTTGAAAGGCAGAGTGCTCAAAGCAGTATTTGTTAAGTTTAATACTACATCCAATCACATGTTAAGTGCAATGAATGATAACTACAGTCCATATGCAAAAACTGAAATACTTATTTGTACACCAAAAATGATTTTATTTGAAATGCTTATTGAAATAGCATTTGAATGCCATACATTATCCAAGAAGTAGAGTGCCACAGTGAATAAGAAAGAAGTAAGACAAAGAAAGGGCAGATGGAAAGTTCATCTATTTCTCCTCCCCTGCTGATAAATAAAAATATGTACAAACCATAGTGAGTGTCAGCTTAGATATACAATTCAAAATGTTTTTTTGGATACTCTTGGTTTCATGCCTGTTACTGCATTTTCCTTGAAATTACTTTTGAGATGTTTTCTTAGCCCATCATGTTGCTTCCAGCTTCTTGTTCTAATTCCTATGGAACAAAGAGTTAGCTATGTTTTAAAAAACCATACTGACTTCCCTGGTTGCGCAGTATTGTAAATTAAGATTTTTGCACAAGCAGATCCCCTCCCCCTCAAAGTGGTTCCTGCTACCCAAACAGGCTTGAAGCCACACTCAGCTTTCTGATCAGGCTAGAGTGTCAAAACCTTAATTACCAACCTTGTATTGTCACAGGCACAAATGCCATGTCTGAGTGGTAAAGCAGCGTGTTCTTCCTCTGTCTCTTTTTAGATTACAAGTCCCTTGGAGAAGGCACCAATGGAATCTGTCCTTTGCAAAGCACCATACACACCCACCCACCCTGGTACCTCGGTTCATGAACGCCTCAGTTCACGACCAAATCACGAACAGAAATTTTGGCAAAATATTGCCTCCGTTCGTGAATTCTGAATCGGGTGATGACCACGATCGTGGCCATGTTCCCGCACAAACACAATCACGATTGCGGCCATCTTCCCTGCACGAACACCCCAAACAAGAACCTTCTCCCTACCTACCATGAGGAGAAGCCATGAGGGTGCACTCACCTCGGTTGAGGCCTTTCCTCACACTGCCCCACTTCCAAACTGGAGGAAGGTCCTCTCGCAGGCGCTCACCCGGCTCCAGGAGGTGAAGCAGGAGGCCGGAGAGGCGAGCACGGAGCCACTCCCCCAGCTGGGAGAGGGCTGCGAGGAGGGAGGTAAAGGCTGCTTTCCACTGGCTGAGACAGGGGAGGTGAGGGATGGGGCCACAGCCAGCCAAATGGGGTGCCTCCCACCTCTCCCTGCTGCAGGGGGAAGAAGCATAGTGGCTGCTTGGCAGTGGTGGCTTGCCCTGAGAAGGCTGGGGCGGAGGCGTGGGAGCCACAGCCCTGCTCCGCCTTGGCCCACCCGCCCCCGGGCTCAGCAAGGAGGCTGCAGCTTGGCCTGCAGCCTGAGAACGTGGCTCCTATTTTTGTGGTTTAAAAAAAAGGTATTTATTTATTTAAAACTTTTATATGCCATCCTTTATGTATAACATAAAGTTATGGTTCAGAATGGATTAACCTTATTTACATTGAACCTTATGGGGAAATTTGACTTGGTTCGCAACCAATTCGGTCACGACCAGAATCATGGAACGAATTAAGTTTGTGAACTGAGGTACCACTGTAGAGAGGGTACTGTGGAAAAGCTTTTATTACCTTTATACCCCACCTTTCTTCCTTTTGTATGGAAGCCAAAGCTGCTTACCAGGTTCTCTCCAGTTTACGTTCAAATCAACCACCTTGTGAGGTAGATTAGACTGAGAGTCTGTGACTGGCCAGAAGTCAGCCAGTAAGTTTCAAGGCTGAATGGGAATTAGAACCCAGATCTCCTGAGGCCCAGCCCAGCACTCTTAACCTCTATATTGTACTGGCTAGTATAATGAAAGGATGCTATTCTCAGCAAGAGGGACCACTTTTTCAAGGGTTACGGAGAAACATATTCTGGCTGCCCGTGGGGACAGCTCCAGGGCAGCAGCGAGGCTCACGCCTGTGTGCTTTGCACAGTGTGCACCTTGCGATTCCAAGCAGGTCCGGTGTGCTGCAGCTTCTGCATTAGGCATTCAGTTGCATGATTCTTTTAACAATACAATTACAGTAATTGAGGCTGGTATCCTTTATTACCCAACGTTTACTACAAATAATTAACAGGAAGATAGCACTGTGTGCAGCACTGATAAAGCCTTATTCAAGGCTTGATTAGCTCTGGGGATGTAGCACTTCCGCTCCACCAGACCCAAGGAGAACACTAATTTGCCTGGGGGAAGGACAATTAAAATGACTAGGTCTCTGCTGCTATCACTGCAGGCTTTCAAAAATAGAACAGAACAGGGAAATGCAGACACTACAGCTCCATCTGGGCCAGATCCATTCTGGCTGGGTTTTCCCTGAAGACCATGCCCTCTTCCCCGAAGGCTATGCCCCCTTTCCCCAACCACCCATTATTTGGTGATTTCCCAGCTACAGCTTTGCACATTAAAAGACTGGAATACCTCTGCTAAGTCTGAGTCATATGCAGTTAAAAAGCTTTAAGCTAAAATATGCTGGCATTTTGGCTTTGCCCCTTTTCCTCCAGCTCCATGCTACCCTGGAATACAGCCACTAAGCTTTGCCAAAATGGGCTCAGTCCTAATGTAGAAAATGCCTAACATTCCTTCACAACAGGAAGAGGGTGGCAAAGCTAGGGAAGGATCGTTTCCTGTAGTTTCAGGAGACACTGAGGATCTATGGGAGGGAGCGGGATGACCTTTAGCCACAGCAGTTGTGGGCACTTCCTCTGAGCCCCTCAACAAACTGCCTCAAAGGACGTCCTCCCAAAAATGGATGGGCAGTTAGGCAATCTATGGGGACTCCAGCCCTGATGTAAGGGAGAATGCGTAAGAAGAGCCCGACCAGCTTCAAAGGGTCTATTTAGTCCAGCATCCTTTCTACCCCAGTGGCAAACCAGATGCATTTGGGAAGCACATGGAGCATTAGGTCTTCCTTGCTTTTGTTCCCCAGTCACTTGTCAGAAGCACAGAGTGGATAACCACTATGACCAGTAGAGCCACTGAATTGCTGAATCCTCCTTGAAGCTAAGTTGGTGGCAATGGCTACATCTAGCGGAAGTAAATTCCACAGTGCAAAAATGTACTCTGTACCTCTCCTGAATCTCACAGCATCCAGCTTTACTGGATGACCCTGGTTCTAGTACCTGCCGTCTTTTTCCAAGCCATGCATAATTTTATATGCCTCTTATGATCCCTAACTTGGCACTTAAAAGCTGCCACACACTGGACTGATGTTTCTTTTGAGCTATCCACAAAGACCACATGATCCCATTTGCACATACAGGCTGCTTTGTTTGTTTGTTTAATATCGCACACTTTTTCTTGTAGGGGACTCAAGAAAGTTTTCATAATCTTCCTTCCCTTCTCAATTTTATTCTCACAACAACAACAACAACCCTGTGAGGAAAGTTAGGCTGAGAGCTTGGGACAGCCCAAAGTGAGCTCCATGGCTGAGAGAAGACTAGAATCTGGAGGTCCCAAGCCCAACATTCTCACCACTGTGCCACACTGGCTATCTTTCATGTTCTCCCCTTACTAGCCTTTTCCCCCCTAAACCAAGTAAACCAAAACTTGGCTTACATCTTCTCACAGAGGACTGTCTCGAGCATCTTGATCATTTTAGTTGCCCTTTCCAGGTCTGCAACATCCTGAAACTATACACAAGTATTCCAAGAACGGTTGCCCCATAGTTTTGTATAGAACTGCTACAATATGCTTAGTCTTATTTTAGCTTCCTTTCCTAATGATTCCTAACATAGCACTTACAAGCTGCTACACACTGGGTTGATGTTTCTATTGAGCTATCCACAAAGACCACAAGATCCCATTTGCACATACAGGTTGTAATATTTACCCCCTTCTTGTTCAGAGTAAGAAATTAAATAACTATGGGGTCCTCAAGGAATAACCCATGTATCTTGTTTTTTTCCTGAGTGGCTACCATATATCAGCCAAACTGTGCTTCTGAATCACAGTAGTAAAAAAGAGGGAGAGACTATAAAAAGAACACAATGAAAATGTCAGCTAGTAAGCTTGAACCTTCTATGTAGTCACCTATTGCTTACTTTTAGATATAACTACTGAAAATTGTAGATTTGACACTTACCTGTGGTTTTAGGTATTCTTAGAGGTTTATTGCTTAAAATGGTATCTTGCTTAATACGTTTTGCGTCCATGTGACCTTGCTGACTTGATGACCCACTGCTTGATCCTGAACTGAAAGAAAACGTTTGAACACATTTGTTTTCAGCACAGTTATGACAAGCAAGCACACTGCATCTTGGTTCTTCACAACACAGTGTCCATGTTCACAAGCCATCCAAAACCAGACCCCGCCCCCATGGCTCCCCAGCATGCGGCCCCCACCGTGTTCCACCACCACTGGAATTGTGCTCTTCACACACCCTGTTTCCTAGCAGAACCACTGTGTCCCTGTCGTACTGCACCTCTCGTGCTGCCAAACAGTGGTCTGGTGAGCTGCAGGGAAGTGTCATTATTTGTTTCTCATCAAAATGACTTGGTTTCCACCAACCCTTCATAATGGTGGCTGCAGATAGTTCTGGCCTCTAGAAGGCCCCAGGGGAGCAAATACAGCCACCTAACCCCCAGAAGTTGCCCACTCCTGCGCTAAAGCAGAGTGTAGCGTACAGAAGATGAGCTGGAATGTGTTCCTTCTGTATAACCAAGTGGAGTTTGAAGGTTTTGTTCACACTTTAACTGTGGTCTATTATGTTGTCTGGATCATCAGACTTCTATAATTGACTGAAGTTAGCTTCAAAGAAGCAGGCTTCAAAGTCCAGTTACTGAATTTGACTTGTTAGTTAATGTTAGCCGTAACTTTGGGTCTGGACAACAGGGCAAGCTGTGATTAGGGTTAGTAGAAGTGAAGTGAAAACTTCTGAACCCTTCCCAGAGTCCTATTGGAATGGATAAGAAACTGTGGAAGATGGCCCTGGACTTCTGGAATCCCTGTAATTTCAAGCCCCATGGAAGAGAAGACTTACACTTTTGAAAAGCTGTCTTAAAGCTGCTTCAAGTATCATTTTCTTGATGGAAAGGCAGCGTATACATTGAGTAACTATCTCACCCACTGCAATCTCTGCCACTCAGAAAACTACAGCCAGGGAACCAAAAATGGCAGCTAGGATGAGTGCCTTGAGAGGGGTACTCCCCGCCCCTTGTTCACAACACGACCCATTCTGCACCCAGAAGTTGTCTTGACATCCAGGCAGGGACATCTTCAGTGGAAGATGCTGGACAAAGGATACACCAGTTGCACACCCAGCTCCTGCGAAAATGCAGCGTGGACTTACTGCTAGCCACTCCTCTGCTGTGAAAATCTTGCTGTGACAGTTTCAGCATAGCAACTTGTAGTATCACATACCTTAACAACTTCCGTTTCCTCTCAGCTGCAGATGTCATGGCCATATAGGATGGCTTCTCATGTATGGACCCTGGCTGCCTGTTTAGCAATGAAGGAAGACCAAGTCTGTAATAAAATTAATAATCAACATCACAAACCGTCCTCTGGATATTCCTTTGAAACCAAGATTATACCTTCTGAGAAGTTATTTTACTGGTGACAGTAGTACTGCTTGATGAAGTAGTACTGGTGATAAAGTAAGATAGGCAAGTGAAAGATAGTCAGTTTGCATAAACGCTGCTCTACCATCTTCTTTCAGCTAGTTTGCTAGATGTTCCAGGGAGCTCCGCAGGAGGACTTGAAGGCAACAGGACCACTTCTCATTGGCCGCCCCCGGCCTTTGATCCCTGTACTCAGAAACATGCTGCTGCTGAACCTGTATGTTCCATTTATTCATCCCAGCTCAGCCACTGGCATCCGTATCAGCTACAAATGCACCCAATTCCTCCTCAGCCAGTGGCGATCACCACACCTTGTCTTTGTTGAAAGACAGTGCTCTGGCCAGCACTGGGTGAGCCAGAGTTCTAACGCTCTAAGACAGGAAACAGAAATAACCTCGATGTATTTATAAAATGTATACACTGCTCTTCTAGCAGTACTCAGGACATTGAGACTCCTTCTAGCTTCTCTGCCCATCTTCTCCATGCGTTGCATAATTTCATTCATCCCACTTAACTTTTTTTCAAACTAAAAAAGTTTTTCAAACTTTGCAGGGAAGAGACTCCTGCTCCAGGTCACTTTGGTTGCCGGAGAGGCCTGTTCTACCAATGGTGGCCTTACTGCCAGCAGACTGACACTGTTGGGTGTCATCCTTTGGCGTTTGTTCCAGCCTGAATAAGTTTAGTGCTATTTGCAAACTTGCCTGCCTCAGTTAATGATTAGTGCAATAGCAGCAGTCCCAAGCTGGAGGATCCCAGCATTTTCCTTTGCTCTATTGTGAAAAGTTTGCTTTTGCCCTGAAATTCTCATTCACGTGTCTTATTGCCATGTTTTTGTCAGTGTTGGTGTTCATGAACTGCAGCTCGTTAAAGAGGAAAAAGGGGGAATGGGGGAGAGGGCAAGTTGATGCCTTCACCAAGGCCATGGACATGCACAGTTTATCAATTCAGGTAGGAGCTCCAGAGGCCAGCTACAAGTTGGCACAACCTGATGTGCTGGGACTGTGATTCCCATTATCCAACCACGCATTAAAAATACTGGCTAGGGCTGATGGGAGATGTAATCCAACACATCGGAAGTTCACCCGGTTGGAGAAAGCAGCTTTAGACCATCATCATGAATTTTCTATCAAGCCTCAGGTTTAAAACTAAACTGCCATAATAAATATATATAAGCAAAGATGTGAAAAAGAGGAAACTAAACAGAAGAAAGCAAACAAAGAAAAGAGGATTTTATACTCCCTTCTTCCACACAAAATACCTTTGTAAAACGCTGCTGCTGCTGCTGCTGGTTGACTGCAGTTTGTTTTCAGATGCATCGGAAGGGCACTCTGTGCGGTCCGTGTTACTTTCGTAAAGAATAACAGTCGAGTTCACGTCGCGTGCAGGAGTCATGGTACAGGTGGCGTCCCCAGGGCTGTCCTGCTTTAATGGCAGCTGAACTGGCACAGTGCAACTGTTCTTGTCCTCAAGTCTTGCTGTATTCAGTACTTGCTTTACCACAGTCCTTGGACACAGGTGCTCCACCTGCTTTCTGCAAACCTCTGGCGTATAGACAATGGGATGGAGTCCTTTACTGAGAGAATCCATCAGGTGATTAGGGGTTGACTGAACAGAATTTTTAGGACTCTGTGCTGTCAGGGGAGACTCCATCAATTTTCGCCTTGTCCTTTTGTTCGGAGGAAGTATACATTCTGCCTCGCCTTGCGCACGTGTCTTGACTTTGTCAGATAACACTCCTGAAGGTGTTCCTAAGTGCAAGACAGGCAAAGCCACTGAGTTAGTTATACTAGATTTTCAAACTGAAAACACTTGCAAATCTATGAAGATAGCTGTGACAGAAGCCTCTTTTAAAATAAATTAAATTAAAATAAAATAACCCAGCAGTAAACCTGCCTCTGTTCAAGCAGGAGCTTTGGTAAGCATGCCTCTTTAAGGGTTAATCCTGCAGCCTGGTGGGTTTTCTGGTTCCTGGAAGAGCTTTTGAGAGGGTAGAAATGACTGAAACATTTCTAAATGAAGTATTTAGCTTCTCCTTTTCTTGATGGTGCAAGTGTACTTTTAAAATGCAAGTGGAACCTCTTTAATTATATAAGGAACCACAGTTGGAGAAACATTTTAGCATATTAAACGATGCTTAGTTCCAAGGAGTTACTCTCTGTAGCAGGGGGAGTATTGTTAACATTGAGAGGAATTAAGTTAATTCAAATGATTCAGGCCCATGAAGATGACAAAGCTAGTACTTCCCCACTACTCTTTTGAGAAGGAAGAGGAGGAGGAGAAATCTGCTCAGAGAAGGTAAGAGACTTCAGTCATTTCTTTGCAGAAATGCCATTCATCATGGTACCAGTAAAAATGCAATAAACTCTCTGCTAATCTGAATTATGCGTTAAGCAGTAGTCGGACTTCTAATGAAATGCAAAAGCCTTTTCCCCAGTTCCATCCAATTTTAGACATATTGATCCCCTGCTCAGACTGGTATCTAAAAGGGTCATCACAAACATGTAAAGAGGCCAAGCTTCATCTGCAATTTACTTTACATGACTGGACATGGAGAGATAACCTGAGAACTCTGAGTAAGGCATGGCTGGGGTGCTTCAAGGTAGAGGTTTCCTAGAACCAAACAAGCAGAAAGCATTGCACAACTATGCTGTCTCAGCTTCCTGAACACTCCCCATTTTTATTTTCAGAGATGAAAGAAACAAAAAAAGATGGAAAAAGCGGGAAAAACTGGAGATCCAGTCATTAAAGGCGATTTCATCTAGACAGCCCTTCTACACTGACATTCCTGAATGACACAAGGCAATTGTACAATTAACACACCCGTTGGGTCCAGGTTGCCTCCCTCAGCCAGGCACACAGCTGGGGAGACAAAGGGGAGGAGGATATGCTTGAGGCCTGCCTATAGGAGAGCTTGTCCAAGATAGTCTTTAAAAGCGGTAGCCAAGAAAGCCCATCACGAGAGGCAGGAGGCACCCCTCATTCTGTGCAATTCAAGCACTTCTAGCTTCCCAGTTTCAGAATCACGGCAGCATAATTCCACTTATGTGAAATGGCAGAAGGATCCCCCGCACACTTTTTTGAGCAACCAATTGCTTGATGTCGCCTTCTCAATTGAAAAAGCACCCTACATTCAATTAATTAGCACTGGTGTGGAGTGACAAATTTCAAAATCCCTTTCACGTGCTTAGCCCGCAGTGTTACCTATCATGGCAAGTGAGTGAAAGGGAAGACAGAGGAATGGTCGCTGACTGGGGTGGTGGCAGGGTAGAGGTTGGCTCTTTTGCCCAGGAGCACACCTTCCCCCAACTAGTAGGCAAGGCTGGGGGCCAAAGGATTATAGTATGCAAGGGCTGATGGAAGCTGAAGAGAAAGGCTCAAGGCACAGCCCATAGAAGTAGCTGTTGCTGCAACACGCGAGGCCCCGTGTAAAGCAGATTGTGCCAGGCCCCACAGGAGAGTTATTTCTGCGGTTGTAACACAGCCTTCCCCAGCCTGGTGTCTCAGCGCCTGTTGTCTCCAGCCAGCATGATCCTGATGGGTGGGGGTGATTTAGTGCAACTGAAAAGTGCCAGACTGGGGGAGACTCCTATAACCGTTGAGCTTCCATATATGATCAAATCAGAATCAATATAATATCTTGGTGCATGTGCTGGATGAACTCTTCCCAAGTCGAAATGAGCTGCTCCCTATTAGCTTCTCCTAACTTTATGAGGGTGCTAGGAAAAGGTACACGTGAGTGCATGTGAAACATTTATGCCACCCTGACATCCTTGGAGAAGAGGCATGTATACAGATATTAACCATGAGTTAACAGCAGCCACAAAAATGACTGCCAATTATGTTTCCCATCTTATGAACACTTTCCCATTCATCCTATGATTGGAATGCAGGACTGGAACCACCTTTTCCCAATGGTTATATTGATACACAGCCCAGCAGGCCTCTGACTATTTTACAGTAAGGGTAGAGACAAAGAAGTGCAACAGCAGCAGTGTGGGAGAAAAGGAAATGGGGGACTAATACACTAATTTATCAATGCATAACTCTACAGTTGCTGACGGCACCAGCTTATATACTGTAATTAAAAGCAGCTGAGCTGGTCTGCCATACAAGAGAGCCATTGTAATAATGCCTGATTTACAGTAAGCATCACACAGTCAAGGAGCCAAGGGCAGCAGGGAATAGAATGAGCAGAAGAACTCAAGAAGGCAGCAAAAGGACCTTGGGAGGCAGGAATGGACTATGAAGGGGTCTTCTTGACTTTCTCCATCTTATAAGATAGCATTAGGTTTCTGTTTCCCATGATGCTTCAAACTCTTGTATATGTAAGTGCAAAGGTCGTGACTTCTGATGGCTTTGTTTAAGAAAATTCAGCAATTCTTAAGTGAACCTAAGCCAACATTCATTTCATACTATGCTCCTAGTCTAACTCAGAATGAGCTGCAAGGTGGGAGGTCTTTGGTTCAAATCTTACTTCATCTCTGAACTTGCTGGATGGCTTCAAATAATGCATTCCTTCAAGACCCCGATCCCCATTTTCAACTCAGAAAAATAATAACATTGACCTATTTGGCAGAATTGAAAAGATTGATGAGATACAATGTCTGCTGAGAAACATCCCTTAAGCCTTCTTTTTATACATTCTTCTCTACATATTCTCTCAGTGTTTGGGCTGGAACACCTATAGCCCTGCAGATGCCACTAGACTCCAAGCCCTGTGAAGCTTTAGTAAGCATGGCCAGTGAACAGAACAGGCATGCTGGATTAAAGCAAGGGTCTATCTAATCCAGCATTCTGTTTGCACAGTTGCCAGAAGGAAACCCCTGAGTAGGAGACAAATGCAATTGTTGCTTCCATCTTGTGCCCCCAGCAACGGAGAAGTATGCTTTCTCTGATACTTGACGAAGCACCAGGGAATTCCCACTGAAGTACGGTACCAGGGGGCTTGCTTACACTTGCAATTACAGTACAAGCTACAGAACAACTGAAAGTTGACATATTGGCAGGCAGCAACAAGAAAAATATTTTTAGACAAGAGATGACTGAGAAACAATAAAAACACATATAAGATCTATCAGACAAGAAGTCAATGGTCAGTGTTAGCTACAGGTTAAAAAAATTCCTAAGTAATTTAGGAAGTATTATAGCAGTACCTTAGATCAGTCATCCAACAAGGTGGAGTGACGCATGATGAATAACAGGCTAAAAGCATCAACATGATGCACTGCCTGAAGGAAAATACAATCAGATTTTTAATCTCAAGAACAATACATCCCAGAAATTGGGGAAAATGTCATCACCGTGTGCGAGGTCTCAGCATAAAGCAGATGGGGCATGAGTACATAGTCACTACAGGATGCCAGGAGTGTTATCCTTACGGGCAACACCGTTGGTTCTGTGCAGCAGTTGAATTAGGCTGCAACTTTACTGTGAATACATATTGGTTAATGTATTACTGTGGTTGTTCCCATCTTACAAGGAACAGAAGCAACAGAATTCTACTTGAGACACACAGCATATGCATTTATTCAAAGCTCTGTGTGCCCAAGGCAGGTCCCCCTCCCCAAACCCAGCTCCACCTAATTATTCAGACTGATGTTTAGCTGGAAATAATTCCATTACTTCCAAGTTTACACATTTGAGTCTTAAAAACACCGCATTGCATTTCTAGACAACAAACTCATTCTGTGTGCTCAAAATATTTACTTTCCAAAACCCGAAGGCAAGCAAACTCAGTTTTAAGAATAGTGATTCTCCCATCATAACCTCTAAAAGAACCACCTTTCTAAATGTCAACAATAAGCTTTGTTCAGGGAATCCAGTTTTAATCTTTCAAATAGCTATCCATTAAACATTTTAGGCAACATTTTAAAATATTAATTTATGAGGTGTTGCTCTAACTTATGCATCAGAAAGTGTGTGTTTCGGGAAAAAGTAGCAGTTGGCAGCCCCACTGGTCTGCGTTTATGCATTATAGCAATGAGGTACTACTTCCAGAAGAGGGGGAAAAGTTTGCTTACTGTAAGGCACTGAGGTTTTGTAAAATGTCCTAAGAGCAACTGTGAAGGAAGTCTGAGAGAGATATTTTGGTGAGAGTGCCAAGTTTTAGAAGCTTCTCCAAGTCTAAGTCCCTGAACCACTTTTAAATTAACCATAAAAGCAAGCATTTAAACTATAAACCAGATTGGTGCAGAACACACACACAAATGTGGCCAACAATTTGCTGAACTTCATCATAATGAGCCACGTTTCTTCCTGTGTTACAAGTGTATTAATCAAACGCAGATTGCAAGAGTTCTGTGTAGCACATTAGGAAAAAGAAAATCCCAAGCCTTTAAACATAGCTACCTTATGTCATCAAAATGAAACCCAAAGGAAGGGATGCCTTAAAATAAATTTTATAGGATAGAGTATCAACATTTATCCTGCCATCAACACACTTGCCTACCTGCTGGATTCAAACAGAGCTGTTCCTGTAGTTTATTGGGATTAATTAAGGTGGGCTTATCTAGGAAGAAATATCTCCTAACAGCACTGATAGGTTGCTTATTCTATACACAGTGCAATCCTGTACAAGTTTATTCAGAAGTAAGTCACTGGTGCTTTACTCCCTAGGAAATGAACTTAGGATTGCAGTCTCAGCTTTCATTTCTTGGCATCCAGCAAGTAGTAGGCTAAATAGAGAACGGTCAGAATTCAAGTACCCAAGGGCAGAACATTCCTGGGTTATATTAAC